GTTAGAGCATTATTAAGTTAAAAATATAAAAAAAAATTATTTTACAAAAATCGTAATTTTTTATTAATTTTGATGTCAATTTTCACCACGAAGACAAGTCCAGAGGTCAAATTTTTTTTTTTCAAATTAAAGTACATTACATTAGCTTTAATTTAAGATATATAAAAAAGTGTCAGACCTTCCGGAACATTTTCAAAAGTTAAGTTGAAAAAGTGAATTTTTTGTGAAAAAGTTGTCATTTTAAATCCCCCCCTGTGGGCAGGTAAAGGGTCACATATAAAAAAAAAATATACCATATGATAGGTAATGACATCAAGCATCTAAAAAAAAAAATTTNGTACACTATGACTGGAAAAGCACCGACAGTTAAGCTGGCCCACAATCACAATCACATTCAAATCTAAATTGCAATTTAACAACGCGCAGCGCGAACAACCAGTTCGTTCGTCGCCGATAGCAAAATCGAGCGCGTAGTTCTCGGCCAAAATGACGAAATTTTTAACGACCTTCCACTTCACCTCGCCCATTCACCGGGCCCTCAACCTCGACTACAGCCCCTCGCTCGTAACGCAGGACAAGCTGTAGCCCCTTTAAATTCACTCACCGCACCCCCCACCCACAGTGAGGGGCACAATGCGGTCCTCAAGGTCTTTAAAAAAATCAATCATACGGCCGAGAAAACAAATGTCCCCGTGTTATACGACTATAGCGCGAGTCGGGCCAACGACATGTTGGCCACCGTGGGGGAGGGGATACCAGCCGGACGGCCTACCCGCTTATGGCGATTGACACCGCCGGCGGACAAACCGTTCAGACGCTCCCCGTTCGAACCGTAAACCACCCGAGTTTTGCCAAACAAACACGCCCGCGTAAAATTACAACTCCCGCTGTGGAACTTGAATTTTACAACGGTTTTGTGACGGCATTGCTTGACTCACAAGCGCAAAAGTCATATACCACCCGAGTTTTGCAAACAAACACAATTCCGCTCAAAACAATATCGAACTAATTAGCGCGCCGACCAAATCGCACGGTCAATCATCGTCGGTAACAAAAACGGATGCGCTTTCTTCGATCAAAATGACACTATTTTAAATAATCTTACTATCAACCACAGTACTTTCACAAAAACTTCACCAACACCCCTACAGCCCCACTGTCATTATAGTGGGCACGCTGTAGCACCACACTTCACCACCACCACAATTAGGACCATAAGATTATTCAAAATACTTGTCACACGTTCGTAGACGTAATAGGTAACGACTATAGCGCGAGTCGGGCCAACG